TGGGAGAAATTCATGTCACAGCATGGTGCAACAAGGGGATATGAATGAAAGAGCAGGCAAGGAGTGGGGGAAAGATGTAAACATATGTTACAGTAAGAGACAGACATCTTCGTCATGCTGGAAGGGAAGCCATTTGGGCTCAACCCAAAAAATCTTGGGCTTGAATCCATGAAAAGGTTCCCCATATGGGATCACATTTGAAAGAAACCAGGCTTTGGGTTTGCTACCAAAGGACTGGGAAGAAAAGCTTCTGTGCAGAGGGAAAGAAGAACTGGGAAAGCTTTGTGTTTGTGATTATGGGAGTATGGGTGGGGAAAACGAGATACAAACTACACCTCAACCAGCAATAGAATACTGCACCCCAACCAATGATGACAATAACAATGATGATGTTAACAGAATAAAAAAGATACAGAAAGAAAGCTTCTGTGTACAGGGAAAGAAGAAATGGAGAGAGGCCTGTGTTGTGTCTGTAGGAGGTGCAGGTGGAGGAATGGGGTACAAAATGCATCGACAACCAATAAGAATACTGTATCCCAATCAATAATGATGATGATGATAGAATAATAAAAGATTGGAAAGTAGAGCTTCTGTGTGGAGGGGGAAAAGAGATGGGGAAAGCTTTTTGTTGTGCCTGTGGAAGTGTAGGTAAAGGAACAAGGTACAAAATAATAACACACTTTGGACAATGTGCAAAGCAAAGAATGCAAGCTGATGAGTAGAGTATGCTGGGGAGGAAAGGGGACTGAGAGATGATACCTGAAAAATGTAAATGTATTGCGCCTGGGCTCTTTCTAAGGGAAGCAGAAGCGTCCCTCTGGTGTTTTCTGTAGGTGCCCTATATGTATCAGAGACTCTTCCCAGAAGAGGGGAGATTTACATCCTAATCCCAAAGAGAAGAATGAGAGATATAAATAACAACAATAATACAATACAGTGGTGGCATACAGTATATAAATAACTGATGATGATGATAAAATGCAGTCAGGAAAGGGATGCAAAGGGAATTTAGATTGTAATCTGAGGGCAGGAAACTATTTTGTTGTTTTACTTGCAAAGTGTACTGTACAGTGCTGCTGCTATAAAAGTAGAAATGGTGCTATATAATGATGATGATAAAATGTAATCAGCATGGAATTGTGAAGATAAGTACTTTTGTTTATAAGTCTGAGGGCAGGGAATTATTTCGTTGCTGTTATTTACTTGTAAATATCCTTGTAAAGTGGTGGTGCTATATAAATATCTGATGTTCATGATAATAGAATAATGTGAATAACAACAGAATAATGATAGGATGATGATGATAAAGTATACTAAGGATGGAGCTGTGAAGGAGATCAATTTAGATTACAAGTCTGAGGACAGGGAATGGTTTTGTTGATGTTACTGACTTGCAAAGTGGTGGTACTATATAAAGAACTGATGATGACAATATTAGTAATAGAGTAATAATAACAGCAATTCTAATAATTATAATAATGCAATATTATAAGATGATGACAGGATGACAAAGTGTACTCAGGATGAAAATTAATGAGACTGTAAACCCGAGGACTGGGAACTTTAACAGTGGTGGTGCTACATAAATAATTGATGATGATGGTGACAATAGAATGATAAAAGTAATAATAATATATAAGATGATAGGATGATGTAATAATAATAACAACAACAACAACAATAATAATAATAATAATAACAACAATAATAATAATATAATATTCTAGGATGATGATACAAAGTGTACTCAGGTAGATAATTAATTAAATTGTAAACCTGAGGGCAGGGAACTGTTTTATTGTTGTGTTTGCTTGTCAGTAGCTATGCACAGGGTAACTGGTGATAATGATAATACTAATGATAATGTGATGATGATGATCATGCAATATTATTGGATGATAGGATGACAAAGCGTACTCAGGATGGAGCTGTGAAGAGAATTAATGAGATTGTAAACCTGGGGCAGGGAATTGTTTTGTTGTTGTTTTTACTTGTAAATAGCCATGCACAGTGGTGGCAGTACATAAATAACTGATGATAATGATAATGTAATAATGACATAAATAATAATATTTAAATACATAAATAGTCATGACAGGATGATGATGATGATGATTAAAATGTATTCAGGATGGAGTTGTGAAGGGAATCAATTTAGATTACAAGTCTGAGGGCAAAGAACAGTTTTGTTACTGTTATTGACTTGTATATAGCCTTGCACAGTGGTAGTGCTATATAAATAACTGATAATGGCAATAATAATAGTAACAGAATGATAACAGTAATTGTAATGATAATACTGTAATATTATAGGATGATGATAGGATGATGATAGGATGACAAGGTGTACTTGGGATGAGAATTAATGAGATTGTAAACCTGAGGGCTGGAAACTTGCACAGTGGTGGTGTTATATAAATAATTAATGATGATGATGATGATGATAATAATAATAATAATGCTGTATTTTAGGATGAGGTCATGGTAATAATAATTATAATACAATATTATAGGATGATGATAGGATGACCAAGTGTACTCAGGGTGAGAATTGATGAGACTGTAAACCTGAGGGCTGGAAACTTGCACAGTGGTGGTGCTATATAAATAATTGATGATGATAATAACAGAATGATAATAGTAATAATAATGTTGTATTATAGGATGATGTCATGATAATAATAATAATAATAATAATACAAAATTATAGGATGATGATAGGATGACCAAGTGTACTCAGGGTGAGAATTAATGAGATTGTAAACACGAGGGCTGGAAACTTGCACAGTGGTGGTGCTATATAAATAATTGATGATGATAATAATAATAATAGAATGATAATAGTAATAATAATAATAATGCTGTATTATAGGATGATATCATGGTAATAATAATAATACAGTATTATAGGATGATGATAGGATGACCAAGTGTACTCAGGATGAGAATTAATGAGATTGTAAACCCGAAGGCTGGGAACTTGCACTGTGATGGTGCTATATAAATAATTGATGGTGATAATAATAGAATAATAATAATATTAATAATAGTAATAATAATAATGCTGCATTATAGGACGATATCATGGTAATACTAATAATGCAGTATTATAGGATGATGAAAGGATGACCAAGTGTACTCAGGATGAGAATTAATGAGACTGTAAACCTGAGGGCAGAGAACTGTTTCATTCTCGTTTTTACTTGCCAATGGCTCTGCACGGTGGTCAGTATATAAATAACTGGTGATAAAGATAATACTAACGATAATGTATTAAGGACATTAATAATAATAATAATAATAATAATAATCACTTTTGCTGTGGCATACTGTGCTTTTGTGTCAGTAAAATAATAATAATAATAATAATAATAATAATAATAATAATAATAATAATAATAATATAGATGTCTCTTATTTATTATTTATTTATTTACTTTGCTTATATACCGCTGTATCTCAAGCCCGAAGGCGACTCACAGCGGTTCTCTTGCTGTGGCATACTGTGCTTTTGTGTCAGTAAAATAATAATAATAATAATAATAATAATAATAATAATAATAATATCCAGCATATAGATCTCGTTTGCTGTGACATACTGTGCTTTTGTGTCAGTAAAATAATAATAATAATAATAATATAAACTCTTTTGCTGTGACATACTGTGCTTTTGTGTCAGTAAAATAATAATAATAATAATAATAATAATAATAATAATAATAATAATAATAAAGATCTCTTTTGCTGTGGCATACTGTGCTTTTGTGTCAATAATAATAATAATAATAATATAGATCTCTTTTGCTGTGGCATACTGTGCTTTTGGGTCAGTAAAATAATAATAATAATAATAATAATATAGATGTCTTTTGCTGTGGCATACTGTGCTTTGTGTCAGTAAAATAATAATAATAATAATAATATAGATGTCTTTTGCTGTGGCATACTGTGCTTTTGTGTCAGCAAAATAACAACAACAACAATAATATAGATGTCTTTTGCTGTGGCATACTGTGCAAATAATAATAGTAATAATAATATAGATGTCTTTTGCTGTGGCATACTGTGCAAATAATATTAATAATAATAATAATAATATAGATCTCTTTTGCTGTGGCATACTGTGCAAATAATAATAATAATAATAATAATAGTAATAATAATATAGATGCCTTTTGCTGTGGCATACTGTGCAAATAATAATAATAATAATAATAATATAGATGCCTTTTGCTGTGGCATACTGTGCAAATAATATTAATAGTAATAATAATAATATAGATGTCTTTTGCTGTGGCATACTGTGCTTTTGTGTCAGTAAAATAATAATAATAATAATAATAATAATAATATAGATCTCTTTTGCTGTGGCATACTGTGCAAATAATAATTGTAATAATAATATAGATGTCTTTTGCTGGGGCATACTGTGCAAATAATAATAATAATAATAATAATAATAATATAGATCTCTTTTGCTGTGGCATACTGTGCAAATAATAATTGTAATAATAATATAGATGTCTTTTGCTGGGTCATACTGTGCAAATAATAATAATAATAATAATAATAATAATAATAATAATAATATAGATGTCTTTTGCTGTGGCATACTGTGCTTTTGTGTCAGTAAAATAATAACAATAACAATAATAATAATAATAATAATAATAATAATGCAATAGTCATGATAAGTCAGATTGGGGGTTGGACAGTCTCAGCTCTCGCCCTGAGAGAAAGGAGAGCCTAGAGAAGGAGATGAAGGAAGGGGAAGGGAAGGGGAGGAAAGCCTGCCTGAGGCGGTTGGGCCTGTGGTTGGAAGAGAAGCGGGGGAGGGTCGGGGAGAGGCAGGCGGGGGAGGAGGCGCAGGAGAGAGGGATGAACCAACCCTGTGTGGGGAGACGAAGAGGGGGAGGATGGTGCTCAAGCAGAGCGTGGGGAGAGAAAGAAGGAAGCGGCTCAAGAAGGAGAAGGAGAAGGAGAAGCCTCGAGCGCGGTACCTGGACCCGCTTCCTGTGCCTCCTCCGCTCCGCCATGTTGTCCCCGTCTGGTCTCCCGGTGACGTGGGGATGAGGGGGGAGGGGGGGGAGGGGGGCCTGCAAGGAAGCTCTCGCGAGAAGCCGCGCGAGACGTTATGTAACCATGGGAGACGGCGCGCGGGGCGGGGGGGGGGAGTGAGGGAGGGAGGATGGAGCACTCTTGCTCCTCCTCCTCTTCTTCTTCTTCCCGCCTTTTCTCTGCTTCAGTGGCAGGAAGTAGTGAATGTCCAACTGTTTGTCAATTGAGAAGCCTCTGTGGAGATGGATTCAAACCCTTAAAGCAGGCCTGGGCCAACTTGGGCCTTCCAGGTGTTTTGGACTTGGAATGGTGGGAGTTGAAGTCCAAAACACCTAGAGGCCTGGTCTACATTGCCATATGGGTTCAAAGCCAACCTTAAAAACTCTGGCATGGACACAGAGCTGGGAAGCCCTGGCACTTGAGCGCTCCAGCTGGAGGTCAGCTGTGACCAGCAGTGCTGTATTAAAACTTGTGCACCAGCTGCGCCCGTACCTTGGGAAGTCGGATCTGGCCACAGTGGTCCACACTCTTGTTACATCCCAAATAGATTACTGCAACGCGCTCTACGTGGGGTTGCCTTTGAAGACTGTTCGGAAACTTCAATTAGTCCAACGGGCGGCGGCTAGATTACTCACCGGAGCGTCATACAGGGAGCATACCACCCCCCTGCTATGTCAGCTCCACTGGCTGCCGATCCAGTTCCGAGCACAATTCAAAGTGCTGGTTTTGACCTACAAAACCCTTTACGGCTCTGGCCCAGCGTACCTGTCCGAACGTATCTCCTTCTACGTCCCACCTCGGAGTTTAAGATCTGCTGAGGGGGCCCTGCTCTCACAGGCGAGACTGGTGGGGACGAGGGACAGGGCCTTCTCAGTGGTGGCCCCTCGCCTGTGGAATGCACTCCCCGGGGAAATTAGGACATCAACATCCCTCCTCTCCTTCAGAAGGAAGCTAAAGACCTGGATGTGGGACCAGGCCTTATGGGTAAGCTGGCAGATGGACTAAGACAACCAATAATGACCAGAGTAGGAAAGGACAATGATGATGCAAAATGGGTTACGGACTTGGATTTAGTGAACATTGACCACAAGATGTTTTTATTGATGCTAGTATATTGTTTGATTGTTTTAATTAATTATAACTGTGATATTATATGGTAAATTTGTGTATTGTATATTGTATTGTATTTTGTAATTGTTAGGCATCGAATTGTGCCTTTTTGTAAGCCGCCCTGAGTCCCCCCTAGGGGGTTGAGAAGGGCGGGGTAGAAGCACCATAAATAAATAAATAAATAAATAAATATTTACAGCATTTATATACTGCCTTTCTCATCTCTGCGGGGGACTCAAAGCTGTAGAATTTGAAGAGGCACAAATGGAGGGAGAAAGAGAGAAACGTGCCAAGAAGAAGACGCATCAAGCCAGCCCTGACCGGGACCGCCTTCCACCTGGAAACCGATGCCCTCACTGCGAGAGAAGATGCAGATCAAGAATAGGGCTCCACAGTCACCGACAGACACACCGCCAGTACTTGGAAGACAATCCCACTTGGACAATGAGGGATCGCTTAAGTACATTGCCATATAATCAGGCATGGAAATCAGCAATCAGACAGATGGTAAGCTATTTAACCTCAGCAGACAAAGCCAAAACCAAGGTCACAACAGTCTGTTATAGAACTCCAATATGCTAATGATAATGTAGTCTGTGCTCATTCAGAAGATGGCCTACAATCCATTCTAAATGCCTTTACAGAAGCATATGCAAAGCTTGGCCTTTCACTGAACATCGTGAAAAATAAAGCGTTTCTTCTACAGGCACCAGCCAGTCCCTCTGCAATGCCGGAAATACATCTTCATGGTGTAACGTTAGAAAATGTCATAGAATAATAGAGCTGGAAGAGACCTCATGGGCCATCCAGTCCAACCCCCTGCCAAGAAGCAGGAAAATTGCATTAAAAGCACCCCCGACAGATGGCCATCCAGCCTCTGTTTAAAAGCTTCCAAAGAAGGAGCCACCACTTAACTCCGGGGCAGAGAGTTCCACTGCTGAACGGCTCTCACAGTCAGGAAGTTCTTCCTAATGTTCAGATAGTATCTCGTTTCGTGTATTTTGAAGCCATTGTTCCGCGTCCTAGTCTCCAGGGCAGCAGAAAACAAGCTTGCTCCCTCCTCCCTATGACTTCCTCTCCCATATTTATACATGGCTATCATGTCTCTTCTTCAGGCTAAACATGCCCAGCTCTTTAAGCCGCTCCTCATAGAGCTTGTTCTCCAGACCCTTGATCATTTTAGTCACCCTCCTCTGGACACATTCCAGCTTGTTAATATCTCTCTTCAATTGTGGTGCCCAAAATTGGACACAATAGTCCAGGTGTGGTCTAGCCAAGGCAGAATAGAGGGGTAGCATGACTTCGCTGAATCTAGACACTATACATGTTTGAGGATCAGGACATCCGATGTTTGTTTATGAAGCCATTGTCCTCCCAACTTTGTTATATGCCTGAGAAATGTGGACCGTCTACAGACCGTCTGTTGCCCTTAGCCTTGGCTATCAGTTTTTCCCATTTCCATTTCCCCCCTTGGGTATCTATTGCTTTATTTATTTTTCCTATCCAAGATGTAAGCTTAAAGCATATAGTCTGCCAAATATTCGTACCATTTTTGTATATTCCAATTTTTACGTTCTTTCCATTTCAGGGCAACTGTGGCTTGGGCCGCAGCTAACATATATGTAGTCATCTCGGCCCATTCTTTATTACTACTTTTCACTTCCAGTTTCAGGGTAAAAAACTGTTTCCTGAGAAGACTTATATGGATACTCCTAAATAAATGTGTTCTAAGGCAAAGTGAGCCTGAACTTGTCTCAAATGGCAGGATGACTAAACTAAAGCTATCATACTTTGGTCATTGTCATGAGAAGCGATGATCTAGGAAAGACAATAATGCTTAGTAAATTGATTACAGTAGGAAGACCACATTCCAGATGGCTAGATTCAATCAAGAAAGCCACAACCATGAATCTGCAAGACCTGAATAATAGTGTGACTTGGGGACCTCTCATTTATTGGGTCGCCATAAGCTGAGGTCGACTTGAGAGCAATCAACAACAACAAAGTCACTAGTAATGGACTGCTATCATTTATTACATAGGGGAGCCAGCAAAGTGATCCATATGCATTAGGATAAATACACATCAGAAGTGTTGTGTATTAGGACACTTATCAGAGAATCCTAATGCACATCTGACACTCTGGCCTATTTTGCATCTTCACAATTCACAGAGGTTCTTCGTAGCTACATACATGTAAAGTTACACGATAGAGTAGCGGTTCTCAACCTGGGGGTCGCAACCCCTTGGAGGGTCACTTGGCCATTTTGGAAGGGTCGCAAGGCCGCCTCTGTTGGCCCCGCCCCAAGGGCAGGGGCCAGGCAAGAGCTCCTTCGCGCTCTTCACCATTTGGCAAGGGCACTGGTTGGGTGAGGGGATCTCGGTGCAAGGCCTGACCTCGTGCAAAGGCCCCTCGCCGGCCTCACGCTTTTGCCATCATCGGGATCACTCAGTGGGGCGCAATGGGAGTGTCAGACAGGTCATCTAAGACCATCTGCTGACCATGGGGCTTCTGTTTGGTAGGTTTGGCTCAATTCTATCATTGGTGGGGTTCAGAAGGCTCTTTGATTGCAGGTGAACTGTAAATCCCAGCAACTATAGCTCCCAAATGTCAAGGTCTGTTTTCACCAAACTCCACCACTGTTTATGTTTGGCCATATTGAGCATTCATGCCAAGTTTGGTCCAGATTGATCATTGTTTGAGTCCACAGTGCTCTCTGGATGTAGGTGAACTACAACTCCAAAACTCAATGCCCATTAAATCCTTCCAGTATTTTCTATTAGTAATGGGAGTTCTGTATGCGAAGTTTAGTTCAATTTCATCATTAGTGCTGTTCAGAATGATCTTTGATTGTAGGTGAACTATAAATCCCATCAACTACAACTCCCAAATGACAAAATCTCCCCCCCCCCCACCCCACCAGTATTCAAATTTGGGCCTATCGGTCATTTGTGCCAAATTTGGTTCAATGAATGAAAATACAACCTGCATATCAGATATTGACATTACAATTCATAACAGGAGCAAAATTCCAGTTATGAAGTAACAATGAAAATAATTTTATGGTTGGGGGTCACCACAACATGAGGAACTGTATTAAGGGGTCACCGCATTAGGAAGGTTGATAACTACTGCGATAGAGGATTCCAGGTAGTGTTTTTAATTATAAACTCTGAAGAACTAAAGAAGGATCAATCTATTCAGTCTAGTATAATGCAGACATGATGGAATATTCTTGCATCACCTTCCATCTCATGTTTTGCAGACAAATCAAGAAAAATAATGCAACTGTAATACATCCCAATTAAAATCTCCTGCCTAACCCCTGCAATTCTTTTGTCGGGCTGTTCACGTTTTGGAGTTATTCCTAGACAGGAAGGGTTGTGAAACAGTAAGAATTACAGGTCTGTAACTGGTGCAACCTTTGTGGGAAATGGTTTCAAGATGTTACTCAACGATAACTGAAACAGACTTGGAAAAAGGTGAATTAGGCAAGGCTGATTCAAACGTATTTGCTCTTAGACACTGAAGTCTTGTTTAACTGGATTATGTTATGTTTGTTTGGTTTAAGTGTGTCCTTTTTCTTTGTCCTTTGATGATGTATATATTTTGTTAAAACTTAATAAAAACATTTTTAAAGTATTTGCTCTTCCTCATGCCCCAGGAAAGAATAATGTGTTCTTTGGAGTAGCCATTAAAATCCACAACAGATAAAATCAAAGTGCACAACTATGCCTTCCTTAGCAAGTAGGATTAATGTAAAAGACATTTGTAATCTCTCACTCAACCAGTTTGTAACCTCTGTTTCCGTGTGTTTGTGTCCAGTGTGGGTGGCAGAGAGAAAATCTATATTACCTTATTTAAGGGTTTTCTGAGCTAGTTTGACTTTGTGAAGAACCATTGAATCCAGCTGGTGAGATGTTTGTTCTTAGGGACTAGATCAGTAGAACATCTTGGCTACTGCGTGTTTTCTTAGCAATGAGATTAAACAGGGAAAAATATCAATAGACGCATTAAAGGGGAGATTACCTAGAATGTGTAGAGTTTAATTCTTTGGACTACTACTGTATCTTCTGCTGGTAGAGTCGTTGGCCATGTTGAATGTGAGGAGTATGGGAGTAGTCAAAAAATAGATAACATTTCCAAGATCTGAGCTCAGAATAGCCAAACTCCAAGTTAAGCTTGCCTTTAAGTGAGGGAAGAGGAAGAGGGCAAGGAAAGAACTGCAGCAAGTAGGCTACCTATAGCTCAGGATGAGTATACTTTGTTTTGATGATGACCAGAACATTGACTTTAACTTTTATGGCATAAGGTTAGTGCTTGCGATGCTATATGATAACTTTCTGATAACTTCAGTGAATGTTAAAAAGTAGGCTAGACTTGCAAAATCTGTGGCATGTGATCAGACCACAATTTATAGTGAGTTGAAAACTTTTCAGAAGAATAGACTGAGGCATACTGAACCACAATATTGATCCACAGCAAATTGCAACTGGCTCATTGAGCTGAAACTGGCTCATTGAGCTGGCTCATTGAGCTGAAAAGCCATTTCATGGTGACTTTGTTTAAAAGATAATTATGTGATTTATTCACAGATGTCACATATGAATTTGGACAGCATACTTTTCCAAGTCTGGCTGAGTTGTTTTCCGTCAGGTCATCGTGTCGTCAGATTGAACATCTCTGCTGAAATATCAGCCTCACCATCACAATCATTTACGGTAATTTCATTCAATAAGTTACATTTAATTGTTTTTAAAAACTTTGTAAATGTGTAAATGAACACAACAATTCCTTGTCACATGATTTGACATATATGCATGAAGATCATGGTGGGATATGTATTGTCGAAGGCTTTCATGGCCGGAATCACTGGGTTGTTGTAGGTTTTTTTGGGCTATATGGCCATGTTCTAGAGGCATTCTCTCCTGACGTTTCACTTGCATCTATGGCAAGCATCCTCAGAGGTAGTGAGGTCTGTTGGAACTAGGAAAATGGGTTTATATATCTGTGGAAAGACCAGGGTGGGACAAAGAACTCTTGATGGCTTGAGCTAGGTGTGAATGTTTCAACTGACCACCTTGATTAGCATTTGATAGCCTGGCAGTGCCTGGAGCAAACTTTTGTTGAGAGGTGATTAGATGTCCTTGTTTGTTTCCTCTCTGTTGTTGTGCTGTTGTAATTTTAGAGTTTTTTAATACTGGTAGCCAGATTTTGTTCATTTTCATGGTTTCCTTTCTGTTGAAATTGTCCACATGCTTGTGGATTTCAATGGCTTCTCTGTGTAGTCTGCCATGGTGGTTGCGAGATTGGTCCAGCACTTCTGTGTTCTCAAATAATATGCTGTGTCCAGGTTGGTTCATCAGGTGCTCTGCTATGGCTGATTTCTCTGGTTGGAGTAGTTTGCAGTGCCTTTCATGTTCCTTGATTCGTGTTTGGGCAATGCTGCGTTTGGTGGTCCCTATGTAGACTTGTCTACAGCTGGATGGTACACAGTAGACTCCTGCAGAAGTGAGAGGATCCCTCTTGTCCTTTGCTGAACGTAGCATTTGTTGGATTTTCTTGATGGGTCTATAGATAGTTTGTATGTTGTGTTTCCTTATCAGCTTCGCTATGTGGTCAGTGGTTCCCTTGATGTATGGCAAGAACACTTTTTCCTTTGGGTGGATCTTTGTCTTTACTCTCGTGGCTTGTTCTCAGTCTTGCAGCTCTTCTGATGTCTGAGGTGGAGTATCCATTGGCCTGTAAAGCCCAATTTAGGTGATCCACCCAAACATCCAGTTCACCATGGAAAAAGAAAATGAAGGAAGACTGCCTTTGCTAGATGTCCTAGTCATCCGCAAACCAGATCAACAATTGGGTCACACCGTCTACAGAAAACCCACACACACAGATAGATATCTACATAAAAACTCCAACCATCACCCAAGTCAAAAAAGAAGCACTATTAAAACCTTGGCAGACCGTGCAAAAAGAATCTGTGAACCCCACCTCCTCCAAGATGAACTCAAAATCAGCATTATTTCCTGCCTGCTGACCCTCATGCTCCATGAAGCTATGGTTCAGAAAGCTGGAGGTAATGTTTAGAATCTGTGAGAGATATATTGGTGGGGGGGGGGCGGACATAGCTTTTGGCACATGCAATGGGACCCCACTGGATTCTGGCCATATCTTCATATTCTGGCAGGCCTTGCTAAAAAGACATAGTATTTCCAAACCTTGAAATATTGTTCCAGAAGACAGATCTAACTTCACAAATGCAGAATTTGGCTTTTATCGTTCTCATTACTCAATAAGCTATATAAAACCTGGCATCTTCCTTTAAGCTAATAGGTATCATTTGGCAGCACAGCTATCAGGGATGCTGCTGGCGGGTTCAGTTTCTGTTAAAAGAGGAAGCCCACTGGGCATTTCATAGAGCTTTTAATAATCACAGGAAATCTAATAATTGTACAAGCTGAGATAAGGCTTTAGCAAACCTCATGTCTTCTGGTTTGAATACCTTTTGAGGCCCTCTAAGACGACAATTCATGAGCTTAGAAGAAGAAATTTATTTCTGTTACTCCTTATAATATTTAAAAGCCGTTACTTTTTACAATGTGAATCAGTTCATTTGGTAACTCAGTGCATTCTTCGTTTGTTAAAATGCTGCTAATGCAACAGAAGCACTTCCTTGTTACAAAATTAAGTAACTTCGCTATCATTAATTGTGTTATACCTTTGAATGTAACTTTGATGTGCTATCATCTCTCCCCCTTTCCTATAATGTGCTATTGGTAAGCATATAAATTGAAATGCATTGCTTTCCAGATGTGCCTCAAAATGTTTTTAGTCCTCTTCTCTCTGTAAGTAGCTCAACCAAAAGCAAATAATAAATCAAGCCCCAGGTGACAAGAGGGATATGTGGAAAGGGCAAAGGATTGAGCTCACTGTGCAAGGACAAAAAGGTACAAAAACAATGCACTGTTTGAGGTAATAGCCACAATAATGTAAAAATCTGTTTACAGTTCCATCCTTCGTACAAACAAATGCTGCCTCTTTGAGAGAACAATCATATTACTTCAGGCAGACGTAATTGTGTAAATGTTAAATGTGGAGGTAGTTACTATTACTCAAAAGCATGACGTCTTTATGTTGGAAACCTCTTTGACATCTCACTTCTAGGGCTTGTCTTTAAGCTGAATGAAAGTTAAAATGGCCATGCTCTTACTAAATAAGACAAGGAGGGCCACTACAAGAGAAAAGGAAAAAGAAGTGCAATAAATATCAGATAGCCTGGATAGCACTGTTGAAGCTCCCACTGTGAACTCACACTGGAAGGCTTCACTGTGTAACAGCTGAAATTGAATTATATTATGCCAGCTTGCAATCTTATGACCACTGTTTCTAAATGTGGTTCATGAACAGATAACTTTGTATGCTGTCCTTCCTTCCCTCTGTTCAATATCAATACCATCAAAATTTTCCAATAAAAGCTGTGGATTTTTAAAAACCAGGAAAGGAGATTTCACCTGAACATTAGGAAGAACTTCCTGACTGTAAGAACTGTTCAACAGTGGAGCTCTCTGCCAATGGGATTTTGGCCTGCATCAATAAGAGCATAGTGTCTAGATCTAGGGAAGTAATGCTACTCCTCTATTCTGCCTTGGTTAGACCACACCTGGAATATTGTGTCCAATTCTGGGCACCACAATTAAAGAGAGATATTGACAAACTGGAATGTGTCCAGAGGAGGGTGACTAAAATGATCAAGGGTCTGGAGAACAAGCCCTATGAGGAGTGGCTTAAAGAGCTAGGCATGTTTAGCCTGAAGAAGAGAAGGCTGAGAGGAGATATGATATGTATAAATATGTGAGAGGAAGTCATAGGGAGGAGGGAGCATGCTTGTTTTCTGCTTCCCCGGAGACTAGGATGCGGAACAATGGCTACAAACTACAAGAAAGGAGATTCCATCTGAACATTAGGAAGAATTTCCTGACGGTGAGAGCTGTTAAGCAGTGGAACTCTCTGCCCTGGAATGTGGTGGAGGCTCCTTCTTTGGAAACTTTTAAACAGAGGCTGGATGGCCATCTGTCGGTGGTGCTTTGAATGCAATATTCCTGCTTCTTGGCAGGGGGTTGGACTGGATGGTCCATGAGGTCTCTTCCAACTCTATGATTCTATGATTCTGTGCCTTGGAGTCCGGTGGAAGTGCTTTCCTTGGAGGCTTTTAAACAGATGTTGGATGGCCATCTGTCAGGGGTGCTTTTATTGCGCTCTTCCTGCATGGCAGGGGGTTGGACTAGATGGCCCATGTGGTCTCTTACAATATTATTCTATGATTATTTTATTTATGGGGTGTTTTAGGTCTGTAATCAGATAATCTTCAAGTTAGCTTGGATTCATAAAAAAATCAGCTTTGAAATGTTAACATTTTAATTGGAATGAAGAAGCATCCTTTGGGGCATTGATATGGACATACTGGCCCCTTCTACACAGCTGAATAAAATCCCACATTATCTGCTTAGAACTGGAATATATGGCAGTGTGGACTCAGATAATCCAGTTCAAAGCAGATATTGTAGGATTTTCTGCCTTGATATTTTGTGCTATACGACTGTGTGGAAGGGCCCTCTGATGTGATTTAAAAATAAATGCTGTTTGTGAAAATGAATTCACGAGGGAAATAATTTAATGCATACTGTTAAATAAATGTAATTATCATTAACATGTGTTCCAAATTGTTGAATGTTACATGTCAGGTGGTACACTAAAATAATCTAAACTGAAATTTAACTTTGTTTTTTTAAATGTGAAAAATAGAATGTCAGCTAAATAATAATTCTAATAAAGGGGGCGAACAGAATAAATTATGTACAGCTCTCCAGCAAAAAGTAGTGCAATTCAGTAGACACTCTTGTTTATTTCAGACTGCTGAGGTTTACAAATCAGAGTGAAACAAATAATGGTGGGTGAGGAGACAAAAATCCTTATCTCCATGAACCATATATTACGATGATTACAAAAGTACATCTCAAACAGGAATTCTTGGAGACAATTACAAATTAGCCAGAGATCTACCAGAGATCTACTTGCCCTAACATCTTGCTGCTTCTTTTTATGCTTACTAAATAAATTGTTCTTTTTCATTGCACACATGTATAGCAATTCTGCTATTAACAAAAAATAAATAAATAATACTGAGCATAGTGTATTTCATGTGTCCAGGCTTTGCAAGTTTTTTTTTAATGGTAAGTTTTTTAGTGTGTCCAGTTTCAGTTTTTCTGATAGTTCATCATACGGAAATCTGGCTGCGCGCCAGGTACATCAGATGCATGTTCCCTGCTTTCCGTTGCACCATGCTCAACTATTTTGGAAGGTTCAGAGTCCTGGGAGGCAGGACTAGCCAGAGCATCACCAGTACTGTTGCAGTGAAGAGGGGATGCCATATCTGGGGGAGCATCTGAAGGCTTGCTTGGAGCAGACGGAGTGGGCATGGATAAGGGAAGGTTCATCATGTAGAAGGCACTGCCCAAGCGCCGGGATACCTTTGGAGAGACAAGGAATGATAGATATTAATTTTTAAAATATTACCAGTTGAATGTGATATTCATACATATGTAGCAGATTATTCCGAAGTCTGATGGATCCATATAATATCTAAGCCTTCCATTCTTGAGCAATAACTCTTAGCATCTGCCAAGAAATATGACCATTGGCTGTGATAGTATTATTCTCCTGAATGCAAAGTTCCACAATCACCGCTTGGCATCTTCATCTATTTATCCACTAAAGCATGAAATTATGCCCATTTCTGAGAATACTACTGACATTGCTAAGATATTCCTAGTGTTTCAGTAGTAACAGACCTTGTAAAATAGCACCTATGTTGGTCTAGGTCAGGAGAACATTTAAACCAGGCATGGGCAAGCTTTGTCCCCGTCCCCCCCCCCCCCAGCTCGGTGTTTTGGACTTCAACCTACCAGCTCTTAGGAATTGTGGGAGTTGAAGTCCAAAACACCTGAAGAGCTGAAGTTTGCCCATGCTTGAATTAGACAGAAGTACGCCACTTGGATTTAAAATATTTATCAATAATGTACTATTTTGAATCAGTGTGGTTTAGTACTAGGTTTTGGACTAGGAAACTGGGAGTCCATCCTGAATGTCCACTTGACCATGGAAAGCCAGATTGATAACCTTGTGCAAGCTGCACTCTCTCAGCATCGGAGGAAGGCAAGGAAAGTTCCTTCTGAACAAATTCTACCAAAAAATCTCCATGATAGGCTCATCCTAAGGCAGTGGTTCCCAACCTGTGGTCCATGGACCACCAGTGGTCAGCAAGAACAAAAATATAGTCCGCAGCCTCAGCATTACTATACTGTTGCTGAAACCATATGGCAACAAGAGCGACTGGTCTCAAAAAACCCTCTTATAGTGCCAAGGCAATAGGATGTCGGGAGGGAAGAGGCTGACCACCTACAAAAGATTATTACTACTAACTAAATATGGTTTTCTGTGGATGAACAGATGGCGACTACTGGATTACATATATTACATATATTCTGTATCAGAAACTAGAGCTGATGTGGTCTATTCAGAATCAGCATCCCCAAATAACCAAATCGACTCTAAAGTTGAGCAACAACTGATTCGTAACCCTTTTGGAACTAATGTTGGAGAGTGGTCCCTGGACAAAGTGGTCCCTGGTCAAAAAAGGATTGGGAACCACTGATCTAGGGTCACCATAAGTCAGAAATAACTTGAAGGCACAAAACAACAAGGTTCTGTTTTAGTGGCCAGACCCCACCTAATCTAGGCTTGTGATAAAAGCTATATAGACAGCTGATAAAATAGACATGTCCATGGAACAACTTTCATTCTTTCAGTATGCTGCATTTCAGTATTTTGAGTTTAATTGTGTCTATTACTTACCTGCAACCGTATCTTTAATGCAGGTCCAAGTTTTAATCCCATTGTGTCCAAAAGATGTTCTTCTGTGAGTAAGGGTAAGGTTTCCCCATCAATGGCGTGGTCTTTAAATATCTTATCAAATAAAACAATTAAATTGACATTTCAGCAATAAACCAGAATTCAGAGAGCTAAAACTGATTGTAGTGAGTAAAAGATTAAAATGGAGTGATTGCGCTTCTTTTTTCTTTTCAATGAAAGATATTTTGTAGGTGACCCAGTGGTCATGACTTCATTTCTGCCAGAGCTTGGAAATATTAGTAAAAAATTCGTCCACTTTGTGTTTATTTATGTCTCTTTTTTGTCAATGCATAAGTCAGTATTTTCTGTCACATTCCAGAAATCAATAGGATTCAGAACAGGGATAAATCAAATATTTCCTAGAATGTTGGCTAGTGGGTTGTGGGCAGGTTTTATCAAGGGAGATCCCCCCCCCCCCCAAACACACACACTTTCTTTTGGGCTGCAGCAGCAGAAAACTCTGCCTCTTTGGTTGCCCAGATGGCAATCTGGGGATACTGTGAGGACAGACAAGTATCCAAAGGATGCTAAAGCTTCTTCTACTCCTTTCATTAAGATACTTCCACTTCTGACTCCTGCAAAGCCCATTGAGTAGTGTCAGTCCCTAAATGAAGTCATGGCTTCATCATAGAGATCCTTCATCCTTGCATATAGGTTTGCTCTTCCAGACACGTTTAACTTGGACTTGAACCATCTCTAATTTTCCACCTCTTTTCAAACCATAGCTACACCCTCTTATTAAGCAATAAGCAATATTGATGGTTACCTGTGCATAGTCTGAACACCCCGGAAGGCTGATGATAAAACTATATACATCTTCAACAGTCCATTTGCGGATATCTTCAATAGAAGAAATGTCTTCTGCATTCAGAATCAGTCCAGACGTGGCTGTGGGAACGAATGAACAGGTTTGGCATTCAGTTTCATGCAGAGAGACGAGAAAATATTATTGGCTCTAATGTCTATGTGTAGTATGTATGCTATGCACTAATAGGATGCTTAAGCTGCATGTTTAAAAAGGCATATGCAGTAGCTCCAAAAGTTTCTTTCCCTAAAGTGGCAATACCTCTCTTCCATGCACTAACACTGTATGCTCTTATGCTTCCAGTAATGATGCTAACCCCTTGTCCATACTTCTGCAATGCTCACACTATCAAATATAGGAAAACATTTATATTCCTGCATGGGTCCTGTGGGGATAAAAGTTGAAAATAAATAAATATTCATACCCTTCAAACATTTTAAGTGTTGGGTTAAAGAAAAAAAGTATTGCATTTCTGTATGTGTTGCTACTGTTATGCATTTCCTTATTGACTATAGGTTTTGGTGACTCTATCATAGAGTATTCTTGGTAGGATTTGTTCGGAGATTTCCTATTGCCTTCTCAGGCAGAGACAGTGAGATTTGTCATACAATCATAGAGTTGAAAGAAACTCTATGCGAACTAATCCAATTTCTCACCATGCAAGAGGAATACAGAAGCCGAGTACCCAGCGAGCTTCCAGGTTTGAATAAGGATTCAAAGTCTGGTTTCCCAGAATCCTGGTCCAATAGCTCCACATATAACCAGCGGTAAGCATAAATAAACATGACTTGCTAGTTTATGTTTTTTTATGAACGGAAGCCATGTGTTTGTGCAACAATAAAATACAGCCAGTCCTCTATGTTTGCAGAAGTTTCCACTCTGCCATAAGCATTGCTTACCTGAAGGTAGCAGTGGGTTGTTGGGTACAGAGAAACCATATGGGAGAGCAGAGAATGTAAATGCAGAGGGATACACATACTTTTCTTCAAAGGCTGAGCAAGAGTTGCTAGAATCTTTTTCATTCCCATTGTTGCAGCCATTGGTTTCACTGGGTATTTCATGGCTACCTGAATCTTTCCTTAAGCCATGCTCATACTCCTTGCCATTTTTGGCTACCACAGAAGATGGCTCTGTATGGACTTTGCTTTGTTCATGTTTGCTCAGCATCTCCACCTCTGCTTCTTTTTTGTCCTCTTTTTCTTCATCAGCCGTCACAGCGACCAGGTCTGTGGCCTTGTCTTCTGCTTGGCTCTTGATGCCATTGACGGTACAATCATTGACCTTGTGATTCCCAGCTCTTCGGCCCGGACGTCGGCCTCGCTCCCTTTGAAGAGTGCTGACAGGCGGGTAGGGACTGGTGGCCATGAGCATGGCATTGCCATGAAGTTCGTCAAGGGTTGTTCGATGAACATACAAATCATTAGGAAGGTGGCCTTCAGGTATCCTGTGTCTCCCTCGGAAAGCAACTGGGCTAGCTGGGATGCTGTGGTAAAGAAAGGGGCCTTCCAGCCCCAATAGCCCTTTGCGATGAGCTTTTTCGATTTCCTTTTGTTGAAAAATGGCACCCATTTCCATTTCCATCCTAGACAAAGGAACATGACATAAGGAAGAGGAATCAATGGCATATATTGAAATGAAACGTTGTTGTCAATGTCATCATCACTATTAGTTCAAAGCTAAGAGTAAAGGACATGCAGCTTGATTTGTAAGCAAGGAGCCGTGACTTAGGATCCAGTAACCACTCAGGTGGCAGCTTATACATAATAATAATAAAAAGGAAATACATGATCAAAAGAGAGTAGAACACAGTGAAGATTCCACAGGAAACAGATTTAGCAATAAAGATGAATATCCAGGAAAAGATATAGTTGAAACACAAATGAGACACATCTTACTATAATTAGGAATGACTGTGATTAATTTCCTGTTTTCCTTTTGTCCAGAAAATAACTATCGATGGACGCCTTAACAGTCTTTCTCTTTGTCTTTAAAACACATTGAACTGGACATCCTTTGAAGTAGAGTATTATATTCTAAACCACTGCTTCTTAAACTGTGGGTCCAGACCCCCAACATTAGCTCAATGTTGGGGTATTAAAAAAAATGGCAACAGTACAAGGTTTCTGAATGCCACCCATTTACCCATCGCTGTAAAGAAATGTTTATAATGGACTCTGCAAAAAATGCTTCATAAAAAGGAAACTCAACCTGTTTAGCATGTCTTGCAAATGTAGATTTGTTATCAGTAAATATATGTCTTTTATTTACCTATAAACCTGGGGTCATATAAAATATCCCAGTTTTCATCTGTGAAATGTTGGAGGGTATGTTGATGGCTATGAGCAAATATGTGGTCACTTCAATATATGCCTAAATCCAGTAGTGATTGAAGCCCGTAAAACTATAATAAAAAAGCATCACTCCAATGTTGAATTGTAGGATGCATTGCATTCATACTTTACCTAGCAATGTTTTGTTTCTGAACCAATTCTTGCCTTCTGGTTACAGCTTCCATAGATTCTGGTTGGAGAAAGCTATATCCTAAAAAAAAGTTGATAAAAAGTTAAAGTTTTGCAATGTTCATGTGAAGACTATTTTCCAATGTTGATGAGTTTCTTGGTGTTCTTTGTAATTGCAAATCTATCTGTTTAATGTAATTTTTTTAGATTGGAGAAACAGATCTCCAAATGTAGGAAAGCACAATTTTTGGTACACAATTCTGATTTATTTTGTTTTTGGACTAAAAATGCGCATTGTATTCACATACAATTTGTTTAGAACAAATTTCTTATCACTTCTCTGGTTGAGGGATTCATTTTAAGGTTTTGCAATTAATTACATGTTTCACATGACTGCATGCAGGGCAGAACAAGAGGCATTTCTCTCTGGAGGTTTGCTATTTATTGAGGAAGTGGATTAATAAGTCAAATAGTGGTAAACATATCCCACTGATTTTGCACTGTATGTTTCTATTGGATATTTTGAAGACTGTATATGAAACTATTTAGTGAGACATACAGGTCAACTGATTTCACAGACTGCTTGTTTTCTATGTCTACAAGGAACTACTTTGTAAAGTGGTTGTTGTTGTGTGCCCTCAAGTAGTTTCCAAATTATTGAGACCTATCACCGTGTTTTCTTGGCAAGATTTGTTCATAGGGAGAATCTGGTTGCAGCTAACAAAGAAAATCTTGCATATAGATGAAGTCCTGGATTTGGATTACTGTTGACCTGAGGAATGCAATATCCCCACCCACAGATGGCAGTATAGCCTCTTCTTCACAACTGCTGACCCAGCAACCATGGGATAAAAGCATGGAGATACAGAAGGGAAAACGGTGAATAAAGGATAACTGCAATCAGAGGCAGCCCTAGGTAATTTTCAACAGTAAGCAAACAGTATTCCCCCCCTCCCCCCAACCAATCACTGATATATATTTTCTGTTCGTCGTGGGAGTTCTGTGTGCCATATTTGGTTCAATTCCATCATTGGTGGAGTTCAGAATGCTCTTTGATTGTAGGTGAACTATACATCCCAGTAACTACAACTCGCATATGTCAAGGTCTATTTTCCCCCAAGAGTGCCTCAAGAGCGCCCCTGGGCAAAATCAACTATACTGCAAATGCTTACTTTGCGTAATGGGTTGAGCCACCCCTGACTGAAATATCTGCATCAACTAGGACAAGCTCTAGAGCTTATCTGAAAAGCCACAACCGAGGTGTACAAAATTGTTCAAAATGTGGGGTTAAGTAGATAGGGAGAACTCCCCCCCCCCCACTACTTTCAGAATATTAAACCCTATGATCATAATCTGAAGATGAATGAGGGAAATCCAGGTGAGAAGAAAGGATGAACTTTGCACAGCAGAGGAAGGATCAGGCACATGGAAGAATGACAAAGATATCAGTGGCTACTTTTCATTTTGATAGCCATGCAACACATCCCGTATGAGACAGCTCAGGATACCAGTCTGTGCAGAACATGAGTAGGAGCGTGCTGCTGTACTTATGTCCTGCTTGTAGGTTTCCCAGATGCATTTAGTTGGGCAAATGTTGAGAATGCTGGTCTATACCATTATTGGGTCTGATTCTTTCTTCTTCTTATGTTCTTGCTGAAGTGTCATATACAGACACATTCTCATTGAAAGTCTACTAATGGAGGGTGTGTTGTTTACTCCGATCTATTGTTTTCTCTGCAGGCCAGGGGTGACTGAAAGACTTTCTATTGCAGGAGTAGCAAACCCACTGCTGATTTTACTGTCATTCCTCCTGCATGGCTCTGAATTGAACAGAAGTTCTGTCAGAGTCAAATTAAAGATGTACATTTCATAGCAGCTGGCATTGGGGAACAGTGGTAAAAATAAAGGGTGGATTTTTCTCCTTCCAATATGTGAAATCCACCAGCCACCCCTTCTATAGACCAGGGCTTCTTAAACTTTTCCACAAGGAACTTCTTTTGACCCAAGGAGTTTTGTTGTGACCTCAAGTATATAGACATATAAAATAGGCATAAAAATAAAAAATTGATGGATAACAAATAATAAATGCACTAAGGGGACCGATCTGTAGTTGGGACTCACAGATTAAGAAGCAGTGCTGTAGACTAACTGGAAGCCTATTTTTTTTAGATGTTTGGGTTGCTTATGGGTACCTCCAAATTCTATCTGGGGTAATAGACTAATGCTTATATACAGCCAGGTTCAAATAATAATATAATAATAACTTTATTTTTGTACCCCACCTCCATCTCCCCAGAGGGACTCGGGGAGGCTTCCATGGGGACAAGTCCAATCAACACAATTAAAATAAACATATTAAAATAAATAATGTGGTTCCAATACACCTGTGTACATATGACAAAGGTGAAGAGCGAGGGAAATTCCATTATCTACTTCCCATATGACATTTTCAGATAAACAGGAGTTCTGAAGAAATGGGGCACAGTGCCTTTGTTTGTAGATGATTTACATATGCATTGCAGCAGCAATGTCTATTTAATTTGTGGTTTATAATCCTGCAATCTGCCTTGTGACAATGCTGTGCCAAGTTTAAAATCCTTCAAAATAAATACAGGTAGATAATAACAAATTATCTTATGTGTAGAAATGGAAGAATATCTAGTTAAAAGAATGCTTGCTAGCTGCAGTTTCTCGCCAGACCAAGAGAAAATACTGGAAGGGTTTGGTGGGCATTGACCTTGAGTTTTGGGAGTTGTAGTTCACCTACATCCAGAGAGGACTGTGGACTCAAACAATGATGGATCTGGACCAAACTTGGCACAGATACTCAATATGCCCAAATGTAAACACTAGTGGGGTTTGGGAAAAATAGACCTTGACATTTGGGAGTTGTAGTTGCTGGGATTTATAGTTCACCTACAATCAAAGAGCATTCTGAACCCTGCCAACAATTGAATTGGGCCAAACTTCCCACACAGAACCTCCACGACCAATAGAAAATACTGTGTTTTCTTGTGGTCTTTGGTGACCCCTCTGACACCCCCTCGCAACCCCTCCAGGGGTCCCGACCCCCAGGTTGAGAAACACTGATATAGATCGAGCAAGAAGGGTTGGATAGAATAATGTTACACTAGAACATCTGGTTCATACCTTTCAGGGAAGCTTAGTGTTCTACTCTGCCTCAAAGTTTCTGCATCCATAGATTCAACCAACCATCTGTGATTTGAAAATATTCCACATAACAAATGCCCTCCTCTCTGAAACAAACCTTGATGTTACTTTTATATATAAGGAACACTATTTTATTATGGCATCGGGACTTGAGCATTCATGAATTTTGGTATCTATGAAGTGTTCTCGAATCAAACCCTAGTAGATATCAATGCCCCACTGTAGTGTAATCAAACCAGCATAATGCCTACAATTCAGAAATGCATTCAGATATACTCATTATTTTCATTCTAAAAAACCAATAAGTGCTATTCATGTTTTACCATCCAGTTTGTACTGTATTCCCCCTCCTCCTGATTTCTTACCTGGACCTTGATAAACACGGTTGGATAATAGGTTTGGCATGTTGGCATGTTGTGGGACAGCGGGACTGAGGTGAGAAGCTACATGGATCTGCCTAGGGTCACCTGGGGTCAGCATCTCAGTTGAAGGTAACAAGTCTCTAAGAAGGAAAACAGGCACCCAGTTAAAGCATGGCAAACATGGACTTGTCATGTAAAAGTGTCATGTGAAATCCAAAACACTTCTGGTCCCAATAATTTTGGATGAGGGAAAATCAACCTATACTTTGTTGGCAGGTGTTCTTAATTTTCATTTTGAATGGAAAATTTTTAGCTATCAGCCTGTCCTGCCCTCATTGTAGCTCACAATAATATGCTGATTTAGCCAACAGATGGCAGACATTATTATCCCATGGGTTCTCCTGTTCCCATCCTTATTCTCATTCTACAATTCTTGTTCATTTCCTTTGTTCAATCGTCTATAATAGTTGGGTCTGAGACTTTGTTCTTACAGTGATGCAATACCCCCATTTAAGCTGCCATGGAACCTCACCAAAGGCTATACAAACAAAGGTTGATAGGTCTTAAAGTCCGGCAACATCTGGAGGGGCCACACTTTGTTATTCCACTGTGCGATTATGATGCAGAAATGCACATTATTTATTTATTTATTTACAGTATTTATATTCCGCCCTTCTCACCCCTCAGGGTCTCAGGGCGGATCACAATGCACACATACATGGCAAGCACTCAATGCCATAGACACACAACATATATAGACAGACACAAAGAGGCTATTTAACTTTTCAGCTTCATGAGAATATGTTTGAATTCCGGCCACTGGGGAGCTGTCGCTTCAACGTCCACTTGTGACATCGATGGAGTACTTCCTCATTCGTTCACACACTGCTGGAGATTTGTATGCCATTGTAAATTAGTTAAATTAGCCTCCCCGCATAAGCGGTACCTAAATTTTCTACTTGACAGATGCAAACTGTCTTTTGGGCTGCAATGGTTGACAGCAAGCTAGACAAATGGTCGGGAGCTTACTCCGACCCGGGCTGGCTTCGAACTCATGCCCCTTCAGTCAGTAGTGATCTTAATGCAGCTGACTCCCAACCAGCTGTGCCACAACCCAGTCCCCATTACACCATTACACCCATTACACCAGTTTATCACCATGATTCCACTATAACTGCCATGGCAACTTGTTAATGGAATCCTAGGAGTGGTATTTAGAATTTCCAACCATTCCAAACTACTAACCACATGATTCCACAGAATGTTACCATGGCAGCTGAAACAGAATCATAGCACTATAAGCATGTAGTGGAACAGGGCCCTGGGACAATAAATAATGCAGAAAAATCTGTCCATTTTGTGAATTAATTTACTTCAAGATTTATAACCTCCTTTTATGTCTCACTGCCAAGACAGTTAAAGCAGCTTACAGTCACAAAAATAAACCCTATTATTTAGAACACATATGTCAAACTCAAGGCCCGCGGTCCAAATCCGGCCCGCCACGTCATTTTATGCAGCCCTCCAGATGCTGAACTACAATTCCTGTATTCCTCGTTATTAGACATCATGACTACAGTTGAGAGGAGTTATGATACAATTACATTTGGTAGGCTGTGGTTTGTTCTACTTAGCAAGATAGTAGGGTTTAAATTTAGATATAAGGCTTGTAGATATGGTGCCTGAATTTAAAATGTCCTTAAACCTTTTCCCGATCTCAGAGCCACAAATGTTTTTGGTTTGCAATTCCCATTATCCCCAGTTTGCATGAGGGATCATCAAAAGTGATGGGAGTTGTCATTCAATAACAGCTGGCGTCTCAAATGGGGTAAAAACTAAGGAACATGGACAACTATACGGCTCTGGCCCAGTGTATTTGTCCGAACGGATCTCCCTTTACGTTCCACCCCGGAGTTTAAGATCGGCCGGGGGGGCCCTGCTCTCGACCCCGCCAGTGTCACAAGTGAGGTTGGCGGGGACGAAGAGCAGGACCTTCTCGGTGGTGGCCCCCTGCCTGTGGAACTCGCTCTCCGGGGAAATCAGAACAGCGACCCCACTCCTCTCCTTTAGGAGAAAACTCAAAACATGGATGTGGGACCAAGCGTTTGGCAAATGAGCAGGTAAAGAATTGACACTATCTAGGAAAGGTATAATGGAATGGGATCTGGAACCCGGTAAGACGAATGCTGAACACGTGAATTGTTCTATAGGTTGTGTTATTGATTGTTAATTGCATTGTGGTTTTATGTATGATAACTGTTTAATTGTTTCAATTATAATTGTCATTTTGTATAACTGTAATTGTATGGGCGCGGAATGGTGCCTCGTTGTGTAAGCTGCCCTGAGTCCCCCCTTGGGGGTGAGAAGGGCGGGGTATAAGTGCCGGAAATAAATAAATAAATAAATAAACTATGTAAAAAATTATAGTTGGCTGTCTATATCTTTGAATTTTCCATCCACCATTCAACAACCCTTTGAAGGTAACCTTAATCATGTAGCTGTTGAAAATGAGTTTGATATGCACACAAAATTGAGAACAGCACACCACAACAGTCTTTGTAAGTAAATAGCCATATCCTTCTGATCTAACACTTGCAAACATTGAAGAACAACCAGCAACAATGGCTAGCCATGGCCCAAAGACTGACATCTCTCTTCTACTGTGGTTTAAAATGTCAGTGTTATGTCACTGTTTAGCTATCTGGGCTATGCTAAAAATGCTGTAACTGCAATATTATGTGCACAGGGCCAACAACCAGAAGATACCAAACCCTAAGAACATCCTCTTAAACAATAAACAAGCTCCAGATAAATTCAGTACTTATATAACGATTACTACATAGGCATTAGATATTGCTCATTCACACTTTGTCATTGTCTAACTCTGAAGTTATATGGAATACATTTGAAATATTGATCTATTTCAACCTACTCCTGTGAGTAGGTTGGACTGAAAGTAGTGTTGGGACTTGGTAGATCCTGTGGCCAAAGTTATTATTTGTTGTCTGTTTGTCATTCTGTTGAGTTCCAGGACTCATTCCAGCTCCGCATTTCACTTGGGGATTGCAGTAGGGCTGATATTTCAGTCCTGTTCAAAAAGGTAACTAATTTGATGGTGTTTGAGAGTTACCACAGTTTCAGATATCTGCAGTCCAGCTAGGAATGTATTTCCCCTGGATACAGAGGTCTAACTACATCTAGATAAAACCTGTTTTTTAAAAATAAAATAAATACCTTTCCATGAACCGAGGTTCAAACTGTGAGGGAATTGCCTGGATTCTCTGCTGGCCTCCTCCCATCAGTTGTGGGTTGACTGCCAACATCTGGTTTCTCATTATCATCTCTTGCCGCTGTCGCAATTCTAACACAAATCATATAATATTTTATTATATGTACAGGATGAAATGCACAGGATGTTTAATCAGGTGAAGTGGGATGGTAGCCATTGTACCCAATACCTCCCAGTCCAGATATCTTCCACTATGAGCCATTCCTTCAGCTTACCTCCTGCTGCCATGCCACTGGCTAATCGGTATATATGCTTATCTTCTAAGGTTCCCTGTTCTCCAAGGATTGACATCTTTCTCATATGATCCCGAGGAGTCATGCTATGGAGGGAAACAGCTGATGTTGCCACCACTTATTGATCCAATTGATATCAGCTAGGAAGAAAAACACATTGAAGCTGTGTGTTAAAGAATGTAGAGGACCACTGTGACATAGTTGTTTGAGAGTTGGACAACTCTGGAGTCCAGGGTTCAAATTCCCACGGAATTTGATACCCATTGGGTAGCCTTGGGGAAGTCGAACACTCTCAACCTCATGGAAACCCATTGGATAGCCTTGGGGAAGTCGAACACTCTCAACCTCAGAAAACCACTTTGGGTTGCCATAAGTTGGAAACTCCTTGAAGTCATACAACAATAACAACAATTAAAGAATGTATTATGGCATAATACAATGGAAGTACCAATGAAGAATTGAGAAGAACAAGGAACAGCAAAGATATGGCACTTTTAGTATTGGATTGGATTGTTTGGAATCTCACCTTTTTAGCCTTTGGCCCTAGTCCCCATATGACTAGGAAGTGGAGTGACTCCTGCTTGCATTGAGATCCCTCCATACAATCTTAACTGTCCATAAAATAGCATCTGAGACAAAATGTAAGCCTGGGACTCTAAAACTGTCACTTTTCTTTTCCTGTATGAGGAAACCGTGACGTTTCAAAAGCTTGCATGATGTATTTTGTGCATTTCAGTTGGGCCAATAAAGGTAACAACATTTGAGACTGATTAATTTAGGAAAAATGGCAAGCAAAGGGAGAAGCTGATACAAATTGCTGGGTTCTGAAATTCTGGAAGGAAGCCTATGGCCTGACAGTATTACCCATGATAGGATCATTATTAATTGATTGGTTTTGACAGCCCTTGTAAAATCAGTGAATTTCAAACAAAACGATAATAGTGCACCAAATTCTGTATTACAAGACTTTTAGCCTGTCCACACTTGTTGTAAGATAAAAGATGACCGGGGTCTAAATTGGGGTGTGCAAAGTAGATCTACTAGCAAGTGGGAGGAAGGACAGAAGCCATGTGTAAAACACAAAACACAATTTAATGTTAGTGGTAGTAGTTGGAAACAAAGACCCAGGATCAATCAATCTATTGTATCTTTAGCTGCCCAGAGAAAGGAGGAAGATTGAAGCAATTGCACCTCCACCTCCACGGCCTGGGAGGGAAGCTTGCACAATCCTTTGCTGTTGCTTCTGGGAGTGGTGGTTGTGTGTTGTTATTGACTTATGCCAATGCCAAGACAACCCTGTCATAGGGCATTCTTGAAAAGATTTGTTCAGAATTGGTCTGTGGTTGCTTCTTATAAGGCTTAGAGAGTATGACTTGCCCAAGATCAGCCAGTATGTTTCATGGCCAAGTGGGTATTTGAACCCTGGTCTCTCTATCTAGGGCTGCTGAGAGCAAAGAAGCTCCTTAAAATTCAGGGTGGATCAGATTTGCTGCCAAGGGCCATGTGATATGGAAAGGGAACAGCCTTGGTGTAGAAATCAAAGGGTGAAGTCAGGTGTATTTAGGGCAGGTGGCATGCCTGGATGTGGGTGGCTATGACTTTGTGTTCTCCCCAAAATACCTTGATGAAATGAGAAAACTTGGGGGGACTTTCCTCTCACCCTGAACATGCTTTCTGTAACCGTGTCCACTTTTACGTTGGGTGGAAAATGTAGATATGATAGGCTAAGTAGTAACTGAGGGCTTCCCAATTTCTCATACATAGTGCTAGAATTTGGGGTTACAGATGGTTGGAGATATAGGACAGATGAAGCAAAACCCTTATCCACACAGCATATAGCTAGACTATGGAATTTACCGCCAAAAGATATAGTGATGGCTGCCAATCTGGACGGCTTTAAAAGGAGACTGGATACATTATTAGACAATAGGATCCTCAATGGCTACTAATCAGGGCGGCTTTATGCCAGTGTAAATATCAAGACCGATTCCAGAGCAATGTACTTTTTCATACCAATTACCGCAGAAACAAAGGGTAAAGCTGTTCTGTTCAATGGCAACTGCTGGGCCCTACACCAAAATCAGATTCAAGACTGTCAATACTTTCATTGATGTTCATACCAAAATCCAGAGGCAATTCCGCACTCCTATGTCCACCACTGGTTCTGCTCATGGGCTTTCTATAAGCCACTCATTGACCACTACATAGACCTTTCATCTGATGAAACAGGGCTGAAAGCAGGGTCCTTTTGCCTAGAGACGTTGCATACTGCATGCGGGACCACCTGCATGCAAATGGGATGCTCTCCACCAAGTGACGGCTCCACCTCATCCAGATTATGAACTAGTTAAGACCCCCTGAAGCTGGGTGTGTATAAAAGCATACGCACCAGCTGTCCAAGGCTGCATTCATGTATGACTCTTCCCCTGATCCTATTCTGCAAATCCTGGCTGTACAGCACATTATAGGGATGAAGGCAAGTTAATCTCTACTTTTAGAGTTTTACCCTCAACAAACCCTTCTTGGCAGCAGGCAGAACCACTCACCCAGTGCTAATTCTGTCTCAGTTTATTAGGCAAAGGGTAGAAGGCCAGAATCTTTATGGACTAAAAGCACTTGCATGCACTTAATCATGTTATGAGAGCCCAAGTGTGTGTATGTCCATGCTCTCCTTTGCAATATATTATAGTTAGAGAACAGAACTTTAAAAATAATAATCCAATAACGTAATCGTGTATTTAACTATTGAAAGGCATGCATTGATTTGCCTGCTATTCATATTTGTTCACTGATATCTGACTTCCTACTCTTTAGAGCCTTTAGAGCAGTGGTTCCCAACCTGTGGTCCATGGACCACCAGTGGTCCACAAAAACAAAAATATGGTCTGTGGTCTTATCATTACTACACTGTTGCCTTGAAACTATGCAGCAACAAGTCCGGCTGGTCTCGCAAAACCCTCTTATAGTGCCACAGCAACGGGATGTTGGGAGGGGAGGGGTTGACTACCCATAAAAGACTACTAATACCGCCACATCAGCTCTAGATTATTAAATATGGGTTTTTTTTGTGGGTGAGCAGATGGGGAGTACTGGATGGCATATGTTCTGTTTCAGAAACTAGAGCTGATGTGATCTATCCAATGCAGTTTTTTGAATCAGTACACCAAACAACAAAATCAAATTTAATGTTGACCAAAAACTGATTTGTAACCCTTTTGGTGCTAATGTTGGAGAGTGGTCCCTGGGCAAAATGGTTCCTGGTCAAAAAAAAAAAAAAAAGGTTGGGAACCACTGTTTTGGGGAAAGGGACTGTGGGTGCTTTTATAGACCAAAATCCAATGTTCTCATAGAATCATAGAATCATAGAATCAAAGAGTTGGAAGAGACCTCATGGGCCATCCAGTCCAACCCCCTGCCAAGAAGCAGGAATGTTGCATTCAAATCACCCCTGACAGATGGCCATCCAGCCTCTGTTTAAAAGCTTCAAAAGAAGGAGCCTCCACCACACTCCGGGGCAGAGAGTTCCACTGCTGAATGGCTCTCACAGTCAGGAAGTTCTTCCTCATGTTCAGATGGAATCTCCTCTCTTGTAGTTTGAAGCCATTGTTCCGCGTCCTAGTCTCCAAGGAAGCAGAAAACAAGCTTGCTCCCTGCTCCCTGTGGCTTCCTCTCACATATTTATACATGGCTATCATATCTCCTCTCAGCCTTCTCTTCTTCAGGCTAAACATGCCCAGCTCCTTAAGCCGCTCCTCATAGGGCTTGTTCTCCAAACCCTTGATCATTTTAGTCGCCCTCCTCTGGACACATTCCAGCTTGTCAATATCTCTCTTGAATTGTGGTGCCCAGAATTGGACACAATATTCCAGGTGTGGTCTAACCAAAGTAGAATAGAGGGGTAGCATTACTTCCCTAGATCTAGACACTATGCTCCTATTGATGCAGGCCAAAATCCCATTGGCTTTTTTTTCTCCTGGTAGACTTCTCAGGACTTTCTTCCCTTCTTCCCACATCAGCCCTCCATTTCTTTGGAAGGTGTTCCCAGCATCAGCTGCCATCCATTAAACTATTAATTAAGTGTATTGTCGAAGGCTTTCATGGCCGGAATCACTCAGTTCTTGTGAGTTTTTTCGGACTATATGGCCATGTTCTAGAGGCATTTCTCCTGACGTTTCGCCTGCATCTATGGCAAGCATCCTCAGAGGTGAGGTTCTCAGAAGTGAGAACTATTAATTAAGTTCTTGGTGGCATCAAATCCAAAGTGACAAAGCTGGGCTAAATTTATCTATTAGTCCAATTGGAATCATTATTGTTCTTGACCTTAATATATGATGACCTTCTCATAAGGGCTTCTTGGCAAAATGTATTCAGAGAAGGTTAGCTGTTTCTTTCCTTTAACACTGAGAAAATGGGCCTCCAATGTGTCTTACTAACAGATCTTGCAAACTCAGGGCTGTGGCTTTCTTAACTGAATCCATTCACCTGTAATGGGGTCTCTTTCTTTTCCAACTGTCTTCTGCATCGCCAAGCATTATTGTCTTTTCTAATGAGCAATGTCTTCTCATTATAGTAAAAGTAAATATAAGTTTGTAAATTAAATTAAAAATGGCCCATCAGCTTTTAGATCTTAATGGAATGTTGATAGCAATCGACCCTATAGTGATGAGATGTGAAATAATGATACAGTAACTCATCCTATTGTCTAAAGATGGAAAATCCTAGTTCATTCTCAGAGTAAAAGGCAGGAACCTCTTTTGCTTACTGCCACCTTTTGTCTAGGTGTGCGCATATGTGTGTGGGAGGGAAATACTGCTCCTCACTCATAGCTAAGCTAAAATCCTGGATTTATTCATTCCAGAGGCAGCTGTCACTTCTTCCCCAGAGAGGAATGTTTGTAATAGGGTCTAAAGAAACCAGAGCAGGGCAGACTGTGCTTTATCTATTATGATCACAGTCCTTGGGGGCAAAGGGTCCAGAAAATAAAGGATTTCAACAGTTTTGCTTCTGGCAAAAGTCCTGTGCAGAAGTTACATTACAAGCATTCATCATTTTTTACGCCCTTCTAAACTCAGTAGGGTTTTTCTTTTCTTGCTCTTTTTCCCTCTTTTTCTATGTTGAAGAACAATAGGTGGGGATTCATGTATTGCCCTTTCACACTACATAATTGTAGCACAACAATTGGACTTTAATTGCCTATTTGATTTGTATTTTAGAAAGGGGTATTTCAAGTTTTCAGCCGGAGAGCTCTAATGCTGCACCAAAGTACCAATCCCAAGTTTCCAAATAGTATGCAGACAATGAATCTAAGCAACCAGGACCAGCCCAAAACATTTCATTCTCTGAAAGGAGCAGCAAATTGTGCCTTCCACCAGCTCACCTAGTTAAGATGTGCAGTATCTAAAGTCAGTTAATTTAGCAAATAGAACAGAAAACCCAATTAATGTCTCTCCCTGTACTTAACAATAAAAATACATCTGACTCGCCATTTGCCACCCCTTTATGATACCTGAAGACTAATTACTGCTTGTGATAGTTGCCCCAGTCTGTCTCAGGACAGGGAACAACTGTCAATCACAGATGAACCCAAATTTAGGTCATACCACAACCATGAATTTTCAGTCATACTTCTCATCAATGGTCCACAATGAATGGCATCCTATTGGTTAGTCCCAGCTAGAGTAAAGCCATTTAGACAAATGCTGAATGGTGAGTTAACACATAGGAAAATCCCACAAATTGAGCCCCCGGTGGCACAATGGGTTAAACCCTTGCGCTGGAAGGACTGAAGACCGACAGGTCGCAGGTTTGAATTCAGGGAGAGAGCAGATGAGTTCCCTCTATCAGCTCCAGCTCTCCATTGCAGGGGCATGAGAGAAGGCTCCCACAAAGGTGAGAAAACATCAAAACATCCAGGCGTCCCCTGGGCAACGTCCTTGCAGATGGCCAATTCTCTCACACCAGAAGCAACTTGCAGTTTCTCAAGTCACTCTGGACACAAAAAGTGGGTTTATTCTAGTCAAGAGTGCCAGTGTGATGTAATTTAGTTTTAGTTTTTGTTTTGTTTTTTTGTGTCAGGAGAGACTTGAGAAACTGCAAGTCGCTTCTGGTGTGAGATAACTGGACGTTGCCCAGGGGATACCTGGATGTTTTACCATCTTGTGGGAGGCTTCTCTCATGTTCTCACATAGGAAACTAGAGCTGACAGACAAGAGCTCATCCCGCTCCCTGGATTTAAACTGCCAACCTTTTGGTCAGCAGTCCTGCCAGCATAGGTTTTAACTCATTGCACCACCAAGGACTCCATGTGATGTAGTGATTTGATAGTTAGATTGCAACTCTGAAGAGCAGGGTTTGTTTTCCGCTCAGCCATGGAAACCCACTGGATAGCCTTGGGGAGTCACAAACTCTCAGCCCCAGAAAGCCCCATGATAGGTTCGTCTTATGGCCACTATAAGTCTGAAATTACCTGAAGGTACACAGCAATTCTGGTCAGAACTAGCATGAGAATTTAGTACTATGAACATTAACTGTATTCTTAATAGGAACGTATAGGAAATAGCTGAGGATATGCAAGTTGTAAATGGAAAAGACCACCAGAACATGAAAAGTGATCATGACTCTGGGTTGCTGTGAGTTTTCCAGGCGGCATGGCTATGTTCCAGAAACATTCTCTCCTGGTGTTTCACCCACATCTGTGGCAGACACGTCAAGCAGAATGCTTCTGAAACATGGCCATACAGTCTGGAAGACTCACAGCAACCCAGTGATTCTGGCCATGAAAGCCTTCAACAATACATTGATCCTGACTCTGCCACCAAACCTAGCAACATCTGAACTTTCAGATCAAAATGTGTAAATAATATTCATTTATACAGCTCTCTTTTACTTCAATAAAATTCTCACAATGATTTATAGGAAAATTCAATGTGAAACAATTATAATTTAATTAAAATCACTTGTCGATCTTTTGGATACTTTTGGATCAATTGCTAGAGGTCTCAACACACATTTTAAGCCTCGGGCTACAATTTCCATTTAAACCAATATTGTTTCGCTAAAGTTCCTGTGGCACAGTGGATTAAACTGCTAAGCTGCTAAACTTGCTGATCCAAATGTCGCAGGTCCGAATCCAGGGAGTGGTGTGAGCTCCCACTGTTAGCCCCAGCTTCTGCCAATGTAGCAGTTCGAAAACATGCAAATGTGAGTAGATCAATAGGTACTGCTCCGGCAGGAAAGTAACGGTGCTCCATGCTGTCATGCTGTCCATATGACCTTAGAGGTGTCTACGAACAACGCCAGCTCTTCATCTTAGAAATGGAGATGAGCCCCAACCCCCAGAGTCAGACACGACTGGACTTAATGTCAGGGGAAAACCTTTACTTTTATTTACAGTTCAAATCCAGGGAGCAGTGTGAGCTCCCACTGTCAGCCCCAGCTTCTGCCAATGTAGCAGTTCGAAAGCATGCAAATTGAGTAGATCAATAGGTACCGCTCCGGCAGGAAAGTAACGGTGCTCCATGCTGTCATGCTGGCCACATGACCTTAGAGATGTCTACAAACAATGCTGGCTCTTCGGCTTAGAAATGGAGATGAGCCCCAACCCCCAGAGTCAGACACGACTGGACTTAATGTCAGGGGAAAACCTTTACTTTTATTTACAGTTGGTAGCACAAAATAATTTAAAGTTTAGTCCCTCAAACCATCTGACTGACGGGAAGTTTGTTTATCATCTTACACCACAATGAAAGCACCACCCCACATAGAGTCCCATGTGGCTAAAATTGGAAATATAAAACCAACAACCTAGAATTTCCTTGTTTGTTTGAATTTAACATTTATGCCCTGACTTTCCAATTTGGTCATGTTGGTTTTATGTAATCTCAAGCTCAACAAAAACAAATAAAAGTAAGCTCTTTATCAATATTAAAGGTACATATTAAATATTGGTTCTTTGTAAATATTCAGCAATGATATTTACAAATTCTAATTCAAGCATCCATATGTAAAATATATTTCCAAAACTGACATTAAAAGCATTGAATTATCAATTATATTTTCATATTTAAAAATGGGTATTTGCCGATACTTACCACAGTTGCCAAGACTTTAGTTTGGACACCGGGGAAGGTTGCTATGAATATCCCAAGTTTTGCGTTTCCACAGCACAAAATCTTTGCCTCAGGATGGTGCTGTCATTTGCTTGCCAGCGTTTAAGACACATCACGATTAGCCTGTCAAAAAAACTCTTAACTAATGGTGACTTTGCTTTAAATACAAACTCAACTTATCTCGATTAGTCTTCATCCCCGGTCTTTAAGCCCTCCCCGCTCTGACATCACAGGCCCTTCTCCCGCACCATCTCTTAGGCAGGCTGCAGAAAACGTAATTACTGTAGCTCACTGATCTCATAAACCTATTTCAACATATAACCTGCTAAGCTGTTGTTAGCCCTTAAGGCATTTGGTGCATTCGTGGAAGGAAAAAGTGAATTGTTGCTGAAATCATGCGCCGGGACGCAGCAGAACAACAGGATGGTTTTGGTTCAATGTTGACTAAACCTACTGATTTTTGAGAAACTGTGTGCTTCTGTCACATGACTACTCCAGTGCCCCAGAATTACTGTTCCTGTTGTTTTGGAAAGATGAAAATCCCCTTAAGCACACTGTGAGGCTAACAGAGGGATCAGATGGTTATAATTCTCAAGCTGACAGTTTACTCTTTAATTCTCACTGTCAGTTAGTTAAACACCTTTCAGGGGGGAAAAAAAACCAAGGGGCTATTCTCAAGTGATAGATTTCATCAACTGGGGGACAAACAGACCAATATCCAGTGGAATTTCAGGAAATGATCCATTGAAAAATTCCAGTTTTAATAGTGGTAATTTTTTAAATCGTGTCAGGAGTGACTTGAGAAACTGCAAGTCGCTTCTGGTATGAGAGAATTGGCCGTCTGCAAGGACTTTGCCCAGGGGACGCCCGGGTGATTTGATGTTTTTATCATCCTTGTGGGAGGCTTCTCTCATGTCCCCGCATGAGGAGCTGGAGCTGATAGAGGGAGCTCATCCGCCCCTCCCCGGATTCGAACCTGCGACCTGTCGGTCTTCAGTCCTGCTGGCAGAGGGGTTTAACCCACTGTGCCACTGGGGGCTCCATAGTGGTAATTAAAAACAGAAGCATGCTAGATTGCACCCAAACATTACCTAGTTCAGCATTCTGTTCCCACAATGGTCAGTTGGGTTTCCTAACATAACAGATAATACCAGGCCACCCTTAGAAATCTGCCATGTGCTCCTAGCTCAAAAGTATCCCACTAAATTCAAGACAGAGTAGCAATGGCCACATATATATTCACTGTTCAGATCACAGCCTACACATGAGCCCCAGATAGGTATTTCCCAAAATAATGCATTTCTCTCAGGAGCTATAGGGTCACAGAGTTGAAAAAGACCACAAGGGCCATCCAGTCCAAATCCTGTCATGCAGGAAAAGCACAATTAAAGCACTGTGGGACCTTAAACCTGCTGCATTCTTGGATCAAGTCTTCTCCATACCTTGCATCTCATGAAGATCCTGTAAGAAAGCAAAGAGAAGCTTATTGCATGAGAACATGAAAGCACAAAGGCCTCATAGACATAAATAGGATGGCTGGTGGATCTGTTGCTGTGAAGGTAGTGAATCCACCTTCAGATGTATGGACGTTCTTCCCCAGCTGCTCTGGGTTATACAGGAGGCATCCAAATGTCCATCTGTCATCTACTTCTCTTTGTAATGAAGGTTCTGCACTAGAAGAACACCAGTAGAACCTGGACCACTTGCAGGAGGAACCATGATAAAACTGACAACCTCATCAGACACAGTCTTCTCTGCAATTTCTTCCCATTTCTTTATGTTGCCGAAACGGAGTCCAACAAAGTCCCTCACATGACACAAGGCAACTTCTGGCAGGACTCCATGGGGTTCCGCTTCAGAAGCATAGAGAAACTGAGCCCAGAGTGCCTTGACGTGGAAGGCAGGGAAAGACAGTAGGGAATGAAGGAGGATGGTTCCCTTCACTTTTCCTCACTTCCTCTCTGCTTGTCTGATTTTTTTTGGTGTGTTTGTTAGGAGCCACTTGAGCAACTGCAAGTTGCTTCTAGTGTGGGAGAATAGGCTGTCTTCAAGGATGTTGCCCAGGGGACACCCAGGTGTTTGATGTTTTACTATCCTTGTGGGAGATTTCTCCCATGTACCCACATGGGGAGCTGGAGCTGACAGAGGTAGCTCATCCGTACTCTCTCTGGATTCAAACCTCCAACCTGTAGGTCTTCAGTCCTGCCAGCACAAGGGTTTAATCCACTGTGCCACCGGGGCCTGTCTGATGAGGTCCTGAGAGTGGGTTTGCAAACCCCTTCATAGTTGATCCACCAGCCACTCTTGATCCAAATCCAATACATTGGTTATGGTTACCATGGAACTTTTTCCTATCATTCCCTCTCCCCTTGCTACAGCAATACTACTATAGAACTGGATCTTGTGTCCCCCAGAACCAGTTTGGGTGTGCCATAGTGTTGATTGGGGACTTCCCATCCCTTTCCATTCTACTGGAGTCGATTTCACCAGTGGTAATCCAGTGCTGGAAATTGCCTGGGATTCAGTTCAATTTGATGCTGCATTTAGCATGGACCAAAGGCTACAAGTTTCTGGCTAGATATAGCATGGAGGAAAAGCTGCTGGTAACAAACAAGATCTAACACAGAATTCAGCAAATCTCTTTTCGGCACAAATTGTGCACTGGATTCTGCCAATTTGGAATCAAAATCGATCATTTACTTCTCTTGCATTTATTTAATTTTTTCTGCAACCAATCAAATAATTCATTATTACATAGTGTTTGTTTTATGGGAGCCATAATGTGTGACAATCCTGCATACTCATTTAAGGATGATTGTTGCATGCAATTTCAAAGAGGTGATGCATGTGTTTTCAAACTGATTCATCGTTTTTCAGCAATAAATGGAAGGCTTGTCCAGTCTCCATAGAGGAAATGCACATTATGCAATTACTAATCCCAATGAGATTAGAAACCATTGCTAAACAGTGTCAGCATTTACATAAATCCCATTGCTTCAATGGGTCCACTCAAACTGGGATTATTCATTGGAATTAACATTGCATATGCTATATTTACTTACTTAGGTGATCCCTCGTTGGCTGAGTAGGATAGTATTCCAGAATTCTTCAAGAATCCTGCATATGCTATATTGTCCGGAACATTATGCACAATGATGAAAGAACCTCTGTTGCAAGGGTTAATTTCAAATTGTTCTGCAGGAAGAACAGCTGTGGGCAATGCATGCTTCCCTGCTGCAAGTCACAACCAGTGGGAGATCAGTAGAAACAAAAGTAATAGAGACAGCAGAATTAATTGCCAATATATTTTGTTAACATACTATTTGTTCTATTATAAATATTTTATATCACTTCTTGATAGAAGCTTACATTTTAAAACAACGATGCATGAAAAGCAATACACCAAAACAGTAGCAGAAAACTGGGTTGTTGTAGGTTTTTCCGGGCTATATGGCCATTTTCTGGAGGCATTTTTTCTCCTGACATTTCGCCTGCATCTATGGCAAGCATCCTCAGAGGTAGTGAGGTCTGTTGGAAGTAGGAAAAATGGGTTTATATATCTGTGGAATGACCAGGGTGAGACAAAGGACTTTTGTCTGCTGGGGCTAGGTGAATGTTTCAGCTGATCACCTTGATTAGCATTCAATGGCTTGGAAGTACCCGGGGGGAATCCCTTGTTGAGAGTGATTTTATGTGCCTGTTTGTTTCCCCTCTGTTGTTTTGCTGTTGTGATTTTTGTTTTAATACTGGTAGCCAGATTTTGTTCATTTTCATGGTTTCTTCCTTTCTGTTGAAATTGTCCACATGCTTGTGGATTTCAATGGCTTCTCTGTGTAGTCTGACATGGTGGTTGTGAGAGTGGTCCAGCACTTCTGTTCTCAAATAATATGCTGTGTCCAGGTTGGTTCATCAGGTGCTCTGCTATGGGTGATTTTATTTATTTATTTATTTACTATTCTTGTATACCGCTGTATCTCAAGCCCGAGGGCGACTCACAGCGGTTTCCAGACAGCAAACAGCAAAGACAATAAAAACAGCAATAATTAATATGCAAAACAGTTAAATTACACATTTCCATTACTAGCTAATAAACCATCATCAATACACAGTTATCACAATCGCCTCATCATCCAAACGTGATCCAAATTCGTCGTCCATTGTTCCGTTCCTATGTTCAATTACCAGATTGCACTAAATTACTCAAACGCCTGCACAAACATCCAGGTCTTCAACTTTCTATGGAATGCCATGAGGGATGGTGCCAGCCTAATGTCTGTAGGAAGGGCGTTCCACAGCCGAGGAGCCACCACCGAGAAGGCCCTATCTCTCGTCCCCGCCAACCGTGCCTGGGAGGCCGGCGGGATCGAGAGGAGGGCCTCCCCGGAAGATCTCAAAGTCCGGGTGGGTTCATAGGCCGAGATGCGGTCAGATAGGTATCTTGGGCCGGAACCGTTTAGGGCTTTATAGGCCAGTACCAACACCTTGAATTGGGCCCGGTAGCAGATCGGCAGCCAGTGGAGCTGGTGCAACAGGGGGGTTGTGTGCTCCCTGCGCTCCGCTCCTGTTAGAATCATGGCTGCCGCGCGTTGGACTAGTTGCAGCTTCCGGGCCGTCTTCAGGGGCAGCCCCACGTAGAGAGCGTTGCAGTAGTCTAGGCGGGATGTGACAAGAGCGTGTACCACCGTGGCCAAGTCAGACTTCCCAAGATACGGGCGCAGCTGGCGCACGAGCCTGAGCTGTGCAAATGCTCCCCTGGTCACCGCCGAGACCTGGGGCTCCAGGCTCAACGATGAATCCAGGATCACACCCAAGCTGGGAACCTGTGTCTTCAGGGTGAGTGTGACCCCGTCCAACATAGGCTGTAACCTTATACCCTGTTCGGCCTTTCGACTGACCAGGAGTGCCTCTGTCTTGTCTGGATTCAATTCAATTTGTTCGCCCTCATCCAGACCGTTACAGCGGCCAGGCACCGGTTCAGGACCTCGACAGCCTCCTTAGTAGCAGGTGGAAAGGAGTGACAGAGTTGGACATCATCTGCGTACAGATGACACCGTACCCCGAAACTCCGGATGATCTCACCCAGCGGCTTCATGTAGATGTTAAACAGCATGGGGGACAGAATAGAACCCTGAGGAACCCCACAAGACAATGGTTGTGGGGAAGAACAGGTGTCCCCCAATAACACCTTCTGGGAACGACCCTCCAGAAATGACCAGAGCCACTGCAGAACAGTGCCTCCGAGACCCATTTCCGCAAGGCGCCCCAGAAGGATACCGTGGTCGACGGTATCGAAGGCCGC